ACACCACTCTGTTCATGCCCCAGGGTGCTGGGTTATACGTTTGGGTTTTGTGGGTTAAAACCAATTGTTTGTCTGTATAATCGTACTTATTGTATTATTTTATTAAATTGTTATTCTGATTTATAATCTCTCTTTTGAGTTGAGTTCATTTCCCCTGCTGGTTTACCTTTAAACCAGCACACCATGGCAGTAAGTGCCACATCCAGTCTTTCCTTGAACATGTTCAGGAACAGTGACTCCACCACCTCCCTGGGCAGTCCATCACAATGGACAAGAGCCAATCTCACATCACCCTTTCTGAAGGGGAATTCTTTCCAATGTCCAACCTAAACCTTCCCTGGCACAGCTTGAGGCTGTGTCTCTTGTCCTGCTGGTTACCTGGGAGAAGATGCTGACTTCCTTTCAGGTAGTTGCAGAGTGTGATAAGGTCAGCCCTGAGCCTCCTTTTCTCCAGAGTAAACAACCCCAGCTCCCTCAGCCGCTCCTCATAGGACTTGTGCTCCAGACCCTATATCAGCTCCATTGCCCTTCTCTGGACATGCTCCAGCACCTCAGTGTCCTTCTTGAAGTGAGTGGCCCAGAAGTGGACACAGGACTCAAAGGTGTGGCCTCACACATGCAGGGGGACGATCACTGCCCTAGTCCTGATGGCCATACTATTCCTGATTCAAGCCAGAAGCCCTTGAAACTGAACCCTACCAGGCTCCCCCTCCCAGCCCTGCCCCAGGCACACGCCACAGCTGCTTCCAGTGGCAGGCACTGTCTGGGCACTGTGGGGCAGGATGGGGGCCATGTCCACCGGTCCCTGCAGCCCTGCACCCCCATCCCGGCCCCGGGCATGGCTACAGGGCTGGCTGCAGCCGTCAGATGGCCACCCAGTAATGGTTCACAAGACATCTTTTTAAAACAAATGGTTTTATTTTATAATAACAAAAGGTGCACATCACTTGTTTCTGCCTTTTTCCTTCGCTCCCAGCTGCAGCCCTGGCCCCACTATCCCACTCTGCCCTGCAGCACCTGTCATTCCTGCTTTGGGCAACCCAGGAGTGCCTCATGTCCCCTGTGAAGGTGGCATTGAAGCAGCCGCACGGGTTTGCAGCAGGGTTGAGGCCCTGCCAGAAGGTGAGAGGCAAAGATTCAAAACAAATGCAATCCAGCCCAGGGCTGCTGAAGAGACCAGACCCTCCAGAGAAGCCTGGGGGGTGCCCGCCTACTTTTGTGACAGCATTCCCTCACAGGAAGGGAGGAAGAAGACAAAGGCTCACTCCAGAGCATCTCGGGCAATTGCGTCATCCAGGATTTGTCCAAAACAACAGCAGCTGCTCCCAGGCAACAAGAGGGGAATTTCCCTGGCTGAGGTGGGGTCAGGCAGGCTCCATGCCTCCATTCCCACAGCACCTTTGGCTGCTGGTTTCGTAACGCATCGCATGTGCATCACACGTGCTCCTCTGGCTGGAGAGGGGGCAAGGAAGGGTGGTGAGCTGAACAATAGAAAGGATGTTGCATGAAGATAATACTGCCATCTCGTCCACTTTCAGCCTGGGGGAATCTAAAACCCAGGGAAGACCCATGCCGTAAGTTTTTAATACCCTTTCAAGCCAGGAGATTGGGCAGGATCTTTTGTCCTCTTTGCGAAAGAGGAAACCACAGCATGGTAAAGCAGCAAGATGTCAGGCACAACAGCAGAAGCAGGGATCCATAACCTGGTCTTCGGCATTTCCTACAATCTTTCTTCAGCCCTGCAGCCTGACAGCACAGCATGAGAAGAGAGCACCAGGCTGGGATCTCCCAGTCTTGGCCCTGGGAGAGCACTAGAAAGGCTCTGCAAGTGGGGAAGCCCCTGCGCTCCTACTCACCTTCTGTGGTGCAAAGGACCCGAGGGAGTGGGCAGACGGGGGAAACCCCTGCAGCCCTCATGTCCGTGGCCCTTGGTGTAATGCTCAGCCTCCTGATGCTGTGGGGGTGCAGGATGGGTTAGATCACATGAGACCTCTGGTGCCCACAGCAACAACAAACATTTATTAGAGTGAGTGTAGACTCTCCTCACCCCACATTTATTCTGATGGCGTTTGGGGGTGCCAGAGGATGCTCCATCCACCGAACAGTGTGAAAACGAGTCCTCTCCTGCTCCTTCCCTGTTTATGCTGGAGACCCCCCCACAAGTCAGGCCCATGGCCAGGAGGGGAAATTCAGTCCTGCTGCAGTGTACAGATACTGAAAGAAAAGCCTCCCCTGTGTAGTGCTCAAAATGCCACTTTCTTCTGTCTGGGAAGGCAGCCTGAGGCCAACAAAACTTCTCCAAAGAGCAGAGGGGCGGGGGAATAAGTCTCCCAGAGTGACTCTGCTCCTATGGAACTGCAGGCAGGCAAGGTTCCAGCAGGCAGCAGCACGGAGCAAGGAGGCAGCCCAATGGGCCAAAGGAGTCCAGCTGCTCATTCAGAGCACACAACAGGCTTCCCTGAGATCTTCAGGTCATCGAAGGGCAGCAAGGCGAGGAGCTGCAGAAGCCAAGGGTATGGACATGTAAGGATCGGGGGTTGTGTCTCTAGCGAGTTGGGGTAGGGGCCCAAACCTTTCCCCCACCCAGTACTGCGGTCGCCCACCTCCCTAGGGAAGTGCAGAGAAACCCTGTCTGGGCTTTCCCTAAGTCTTGAGGCAAAAGGCAGTTTTCCCACACACCCCCAGGGAAGGATGGGGACAGCAGCAAACTCCTCCTAGGAGCTCCCCCCAAATCATCCAACTCCTGCACCCCGTGACCAGCTGTCAGAGCCACAGGCCTCCCCCCACAGAGACTCACATCATCATTGCCATCAGCCAGGTCCTGGGCTGTCTCATTCTCCATGTTCCTCAGCAGAGTGTCAGCCCCAGAGTGTGAGAGGATGGCGGCAATGGCAGCATCCTTGCGGCCCACAGCCAGGTGGAGCGGGGTGCAACCATTATACATCTGGGCATCCACATACGCCCCGTTGCGCAGCAGGAACTGGACAGCCTTGCGGTTGTGGCACTCCACAGCCAGGTGCAAGGGGGTCTTCCCACTCGTGCCCTCCTGCAACCCGCAGATCACAAGGGTGTGGGTGCGGGGCCCCTCAGTTGGGCCCCACAGCACCCACCCGACACCCCATTGACAAGGTGCAGAGGGGGCAGTCCCCACCCTGACTGCTGTTATAGCACCCACGAGTCCCTTAAGGACCTTTACTCTCTGCTCTCTCAAAATTCAGTGCCTTCAAGCCTCACAGCAGTGCTTGCCCCAAGGCTGAAGGGAGTGCCCAAGGGAGAGACACACTGGCCCAGCCTTGCCAAAGCATCACACCATACCCAGTCTTACCCGAACATCGATGTTGGCACCACTTTCCAGCAGCAGAGACATCATTGGGATGTTCCCCTTCAAGGTGCTGATGTGGAGACAGGCCAAGCCTGTGATGGAGAGGCAGAAGAGAAAGCCACAGTCAGCCCGGACCACCCCATGGCACACCAATCATGGCTGCATGCTCGCTCTGCTGTGCTCCAGGATCCCTGAATACACAAGTCACGGTCTCTGCCCCAACCTGGCCGCCAGCTCGGCACTGGGTTGACCCCAGGTCTCACCTTGCCAGTTCTGGAGCTGCAGGTCCTGGTGGTGCCTGTGGGGCTGAGCTGTGCCCTCCGGTGGGGCTGTGCTCCCCAGCAGCTGCTGGGCGCACTGCAGGTGCTGCTGCTCACAGGCCAGGTGCAGCGGGGTGTTGCCATTGCGGTCCTGCAGCCCGGGGTTCACTCCCTTGTGGATCAGTGCCTGGATCACGTGGGGCTGCTCCAGGTACACAGCAAGATGGAGCGGGGTCTGGAGAGAAATTAGGAAAGGGGAGGATGCCCCACAGGACACCAGATGTGATGAGCCACACCAGTCTATAGGAGCCAGCCTGGCGGCACAGGCTGCCATGCAGGAGAGCCCCATCCCTGTCCTGAGGTTATGCGTGGCGGACACTGGGGGGCGTGCCAATGGTTTGCTGTCCCCTGCACCTCAGCTCAGGGATCACCCATGGGGACACATCTCACTCTCCCATCTACACTGCCATCCACATTCAAGCTGTGCCTGCTCCCACCCTCTGGGGTTGTCCGCAATGTCCTGAGGCTTTGCAAAAGACCCTTCATCCCACAGTGCTGGGAGCTGTCACACCTCTCTCTCAGGGTGTCTCCACCACCCTTCTTCCCCTCCCTGCAAAGGAGCTGCTCATGTGGGAGCAGGTGGGGTGTCTGGGGGAAAGGGTAGATGGATTGGGTGTCTACCCAGGGAACTGCCTGCGGCATCTCCCTTCCTCCCATCTTCTGCCTATCACAACTGCATACCTGGAAAAGATCATTTTGTATCTCCAGCACCTCCCTGGGTAGCTGAGCAATGCAGCAGAGTGCTACAGCTGGGACACAGTGGATAATGGCCAGATGAACCAACCTATGGAAGGATAAAGGGGACAGGAGAAAACAAAAACGAAAAATGAGTCCCGAGTGCCATGCTCAGGAGTGGAGATCCTTCACTGCTGCATGAAGGAATAATCTCTCTGCCTCCTCCAATCCCGTTCCCACCAGCTCGGAGCTCCTCCATTCTGCCCTCTCCCTGGGGAAGCTCAGCAGAAGGCCAAGGCAGGAATATGGCCTGAGGCTCTCCAGGGCAGTCCTTCACTCTGATCCCCACAGGGAACAGACCCTCCTGACCCTGCTAAGCAATGCAGAGTCCTCCCTGGGACCTCACAGCACGCATGGGGCTTGGACCTGCCACTATGCAAAGCCAGGCCTCCAACTGGTGCAGGTCCAGAGCCTGGGATGTGTTTCCCAGAGCCCACGGGACAGGTTTGGCAGCTGTGGAGGAAGGTCTAGGCTCTGGCAGCTGCCCGGGGAATTCCAGTTCCCTACTTCCAGCTGTGCACTGTACTTCTGCTTTCCCCTCCCTGAAGGCAAGCAGCCATAGCTGGGCAGGAGCCTGGTGCTAGTCCAAGATCACCTCTGTGGCACAGCCCCCACACCACCTGATCTGCTGGTCCACACCGATTTCCTCTTCTCTCCCCCACATCCTTTCCTTCCAGCACAGTTGTGGCAGGGCTGGCACGCAGCTGCCAGCTTAGAGGGACACCAGAGGTGCAGCTGTCAGAGCTTGGTGGCCAGCAGGGAGCCCTAGTCCTCAGGACCATGGCCCCCACAGCCACGGGGTGGTTGGGCAGCCCGGAGTCCCACGGTCCAAGGAGAAGTTTTATTTCCAGCCGGCCCCTTCACAGTCAGAACAGAAGTGAGAGCACAATGGAGGCAGAGGCAAGAGGGAATTTCCAGTCTCCTCCGCCAACCTGATGCACTTCCGGGCCCCCTGGCATCAGGCATCCTCCCACCACAGGGCAGCCCCTTTGGGCTGACCCTAGCCATGGTGGGCAGCAGCAAGGAGCAGGCAACAGCTCCCACTTTGAAGAGCACGGCAGGCATGAGCTGAGCCTCCTGCCACCTCCTCACTGCTATGCAGGCATGAGCTGAGCCTCCTGCCACCTCCTCACTGCTATGCTGGGGGCCCTGGGTAGCCTGTCTGTGGCAGGGATCAGCTCCAAACTAAAGGCTGGGCTCTAAGCAGCTTTGTTTGAGGCAGGCAGGGCCAAGGGATGGAGGGTGAGAGCTGTGCCAGTCTTGGCAAGACAATCTGCTTGCTGGACAGCCCAGCTTTGCGATGTTACCTGCGTTGTGGGGGACAGAGAGCATCTCTCTATAGACAGGAGAGCAACACCTTAAACATTGCAGAAAAAAAGAAGGGTTGGGGCTGCCTTCTCGCCAGTTGCAGTGAGGATTTGATTGTGCTGAGAAGCTCAGAGGCCAGTACCCAAAAATGTCCTTTATTCACCTCCTTCCAAGTGCTGCTCAAAGGCCAAGCCAGCACCTGGAACCCCAGGGACCTTCAGCTAAGCCCCAGTTTTGACGGCAAAACAAGTTTCTCTCCACCTTGCTGCCAGGAGAGAGGCTGTATCCAACAGGAGAGGCTTTGTCCCTGGGGAAGCCCCAGGTCATGCTGCAGCAGGGAATTCCTTACTGGAAGGAGAGGCCACCCACCCACATTTGCCTCTGCACAGCCATGGGGTGCCCCCTCACCAGCAGCACTCCCAGGGCAGAGGAGGGGGCTTCGAGCAGGGGCCATGCAGCCCCACGGACAAGGTCTGACCACCCATGGGGGACTGTGAGGCAGAGGTACAGCCAAGGGGCCCAGGCCAGGAGCAAGGGGACCAGCTGCAAGAATACTCCTCCCCTCATCAGGCTTTCACTGACCCTAGCCTGGGTATGATCCAACAGGGAGATTCCCTGCTTGGTTTTGCATCAGGTCCTCAGTCCCTGTGGCAGCACCTGTGCTGAGGTGTCCTTCGCCCACTTGCAGGGACAGCCCCTGTTTCTCCAAACCCGCTCCCAGGCACCACATGCAGAAGGAGGCCACAGGATCTGCCTTTTACAGGTATGGCAGAGATAAGACTGTTCAGACAGGGGACTTTCCGAGGCAATTCAGCTTGAACTTTAAACCGCTGCTGCTTTCACTTTCCAGAGCTACTCTGGGCTCCCAGGGGAGAAAGCAGTGCCCAGGGTTGTGTTCCACATCAGCCAGCCCTTGTACCCCAGGAATCCCCCTAGCCCCTCTGCCACTACCCACGCCACACCACACTGTCACGTGGGGACAAGTGGGGCAGTCACCCTGGGGAGGTGGTGGAAACCCCCAGCAGCCCTCTGTCACTGCCGGCACCTCACTCTTCCCAGCTTGGATGCCTCCGCAGCTCAACAAGGCGGTGCAGTCGCTCGGGTCTGAGCTGACACCAAGCAAGTTTGGGCATCCATGGTGCAGAGGTGATGGGGGTGACCATCCCCACCTGGTCAGAGCTCAAGCTTTCATCTTGCAGCTGAGATGCGCCTGCTTTGAAGGATTGTTTTCTCCCCTCCCCCGTCCTTCTCCACCCGTGTGCAGCCTCCTCCTGCACTCTCATTTCTGCATTCGTTCCCGCCTTTCCTCATTGCCAGCCCTCAACTTCCTGAAATGGCTGCAAGAACCTTGAGCTACCCGGATTAATCATGGCAAGGCCAGCGGGCTGGGATGAGCCCACCAAGAGCACGTGTGCACTGAGGCACCCTGTGCCATGGGCTGTGATGCCAACCAGCAATTGGGATTGTCTCCTGCTAACCCAGGAAACCTCCTACACTGAGGAGACCTGAGGCACAGGCATCGTTCCAGTCTCCATTTCTTCTGGCCAAGGCAACAAGGACAACTCTTTGTGCCATGGCAGCCACTGACAGGCTGCTGCTCCGTGCTGAGCCCCAGAGCCAGGGCGTGGCGATGGAGATACCTGCTCGCTGCCAGACACCGCTCCTCACCCAGCCACGGCCGCGTCCTTTTGCCAGAACAAGCCCTACACCCTGCCATGCTCAGACCCTTGCCCTTCCCTGGCCTGCCTGCACGCCTCTCCTCTGCCTCCCTCTGTTTGACTGCTCCCTCTCTCCCCACGCTCCTCCCTGCATTCTCCTGGCTGCAGCTAGGGGGGTGGGTGCCCAGCGGGAACTTTCAGGAAGGGCAATAGGGAGTTTTAGAAACAGCAAGGGATGGAAGAGCTGTGGGCAGGGGAAACGTGGCAGCAGAAGAGACTGTTGGGTTCATTCTCAGCTTTTCCACTTGCTCACCAGCTCCATCCTGGCACAAAAGGATTCAGCACTCTGAATCACAAAGGTTCCATGGGCACAGGACATTCCTGGCACAAAGTGATCTAGCTGTCATCAGAGAGATAACAACCCTGGAGCAGAGAGGTTGGGGCTATCCCTGGGGATGTCCCTTGGTCTGAACACACCACGCCCAAACTGGTCCTAGTTTAGGCACAGGAGAGCATCCATTTCCACAGTGCTGTCCATCTCCAGCTTCTGAGTGACCTCAAGTGTCAGGCAGGAAAGTTTCCAGATGAAGACTGGAGGCAGGAGAACAGGGTAAGGGTGATACCCAGCTCTGACACATAAGCAGAACTGATAAAGTCCCACCAGTTCTCTGACTATCCTTTTCCATCTCTCTAGGAAAGGGTCTGACAATGCAGATCCCCCCATCTGTAGAGTAAGACACCTCATTCTCAAAGCAGCCTCTCCCTTCACCATCTCACTCCAGAACCACCTAAGACACAGGATCCAGTATTCAGTTGAATTTGCTTTGACAAATTTTTCTCCCTCTCTCCTGGTCTGCAGGAACAGTTCGCTCCCAGCTCCTTATTTTGGCTGAGTGGAGCATTAGGAAATCATGCAAACAATTCACACAAGAGAAACTTGTTCAGTAGAGGAAATGGCCCCAGCAGCAATAGAGGGGAGGAAAACAGCAGGGGAATTCCATGCTTACCCTGCTCTCCTGTTCCAGGCCTGTAACCTGCACTGCTAACCGCTTCCTCAGCCATCAGCATGAACCTCTGTCAGCAGGCTCAGCAAGCACAGCTCCATCCTGCCCTGCAGCCCTGAGCCAGCCCAGCCTGGCTCCCTTCCTCCCCACATACCCAGAGCGATGCTGCCCTGCTCCATAAAGCTGTTCCATCTTCCCTCTGGCAGCTCCAAAGGACCAGTGGATCCCAGCTGGCTGTGGACTCATTGGCATATCCTGTGTTCCTGCCCTGGGTCTCTTGTTCTGCAGGTTTCTTCTCCCCTTCCCTGGGAAGGGCACACCTTGAATTTGAGTGGAGGGGGGATGGGATGGGACTTGAAGGAGGTTGTGGCTAGGGGGATGCAAAGCCCCTTCAGCCACAGTGGGTTCAGCATTCCTGATCTTCAGTCTGGGCAGCAGCTGCTTCCCAGACTGCTGCTCCTGGGGCCAGAGGGAGAGGTGAGCAGAGGAGATAGCCTCACCTTCCCTGGGGTGCTCTGCAGAGGGTTTGGTCTGGGTGCTTGCAGATGAAGGGTGCTGGAGGCTGACTGGCAGGAGAGGCATTGTGAGAGGGCTGTGAGCACCTCATTTTTTTCAGTGAGGGGGGGAGGAAAGGGAGGAAGATGGGGAGATGAAGGTGCTCCGACAGCACCCCTGGCCTCACACCCTCTAGACTCTGCACCAACACATTTGAGAATTTTGCTCCATTTCTGAGCAGATGGTGGGTCTGGTATTCCAGAAGCACTAAACATCAGATGCATGTGGATTGTTCCCTTCAAAACAAGGGGTCTGTCCCGCACTACCATCAGTGCATGGATGGGCCAAGCCAGGAAGCAGGTCAGCTCATACTAGCAGGGGCCAGTCAAGGTCCAAGAAGCAAGATCAACAATTGTAATGAAAGCAGCAAACATCCCAAAAGGTCCATTGACCATTTCAAATGGAACAAACTCCCACTCTCACTCATTAGGAGGCAAATACGTTCTACAGTTTCTGTATACACAGAGATATCTCGAGGTCAGAACAGCCTCTTACAAGAGGACAGTGCCTGGACTTTGCCAGAGCCTGCACAACACACCCTAGCAATCATTTACAGCCCTGCACGTATCCTTATTGCCTCAGGAT